CATCAACTGCACTGGTTATTTGCTTCTAGGCCAAATTCAAGGTGCTGGTTATTACTTCTAAAGCCCAGGGCCCTCATATGTCTCAAACCACATATCTCTGTGTCTTCGCATGCTCCAGCAGACAGCCTTCTCCACGTGGTGCCTCTGTCAAGACTGTCTATTTGGCAACAGACAGGCTGTGGGCTTTTTCAGTGGTAGGTTCAGTCTTTTGGGGCAGCTAGACAGAGTGGGTTCAAATAAGAACATAAGAGAACATAAGAGATGCCAATGTTGGATCAGGCCAAAGGCCCATCCAGTCCAACACTCTGTATCACACAGTGGCCAGAAATACCAGTGCCATCAGGAGGTCCACCAGTGGGGCCAGGACATTAGAAGCCATCCCACTGTTGACCCCCCCAAGCACCAAGATGACAGAGCATCACTTGCCCCAATCTATACCTTGTGGCTAATAGCCACTGATGGACCTCTGCTCCATATGCTTATCTAATTCCCTTTTGAAGCCGTCCAAATGGCACCTTCACTTCTCATGTTCAAGAAGGTGTGTAAGATGATTTATTTCAAATGGCATTTGGTCGAGGACAGATGAGTTGGAGAACTGGCTGTGTTGTTTTTATGTTGCTGATGGTTTGTTTTATTGTGTTCCATGCTCTAGTAATTTGTAGTTGTTCTGGTACCTGTTCTGGAAGCTGGTCCAAATAAATAATGCAGGATATAAAGATTTTAAATAAAATAAATATACAGCAATTGTCTGAATCACTTTCAGGGTAGCACTGGATGGTACAAAACTCCTTTTGCAAAGCTCTGCATCTGAAAGCCATATCTTATGATAAATGTTGCTGCTGATTTCACCTGAAGTTGCCTGTCAGTGCAGAAGGGACTATGAAAACATGGAAAACATCAAATGAACTTCTAGTGCAAGATATACTATATAACATACTTTTGGCCAGTTTGGGATGTAAGTAATATAACCTTCTTCTATTTAGCCTTCTCCCTACACTCAAACTGAATTTGGTATATTTCAATTCCATGACACATTCCACAATTGTTGCCATGTCTAGTATCTTCTACTGTGTACATGTAGGCAAATACTCAAGAGGGCCATTTAAATGAATCCATTTAGGAATACCACCCTAAATATTCTGCAGCAAAGATTCATAATGTATGCTACCAGAAAGCAACTAAATCAACTCCTTAGGAAATGTTGTAGGGCTCCATTTATAAAAACAAAAAAGCAATCTTCACTATTGTATCTGAATGTGTGAATCTTCCGTTTAGTCTCCTTGTATTCTGTCACACAAAAAGAAAAGTAGGGATTTTGACTGTGTGGATCACAACAAATTGTGGCAAGTCCTTAAAGAGATGGGAGTACCAGACCACCTCACACGTCTCCTGAGAAACCTGTATAAGGGTCAAGAAGTGACAGAACCAGATATGGAACAACTGATTGGTTTAGCATCAGAAAAGGAGTATGACAAGGATGTATATTGTCACCTTGCTTATTTAATTTATATGCAGAGTACATCATGCGAAATGCTGGCCTGGATGAATCACAAGCAGGAATTAAGATTGCTGGGAAAAACATCAACAACCTCAGATATGCAGACGATACCACTCTAATGGCAGAAAGTGAAGAAGACCTAAAGAGCCTCTTGCTCAGACTGAAAGAGGAGAACACAAAAGTTGGCTTGAAACTCAACATCAAAAAAACTAAGATCATGGCATCCAGCCCCATCCGGCAAATAGAAGGGGAAGTCATGGAAGCAGAGACAGAATTCACGTTCCTGGGATCCAAGATCACCACAGATGGTGACTGCAGCCATGAAATTAAAAGGCGCATGTTCTTTGGGAGGAAAGCTATGGCAAACCTAGACAGAATAATAAAAAGTAGAGACATCACCCTGCTAACAAAAGTCCGTATGGTCAAAGCAATGGTATTTCCAGTAGTCATGTATGGCAGCGAGAGTTGGACCATAAGGAAGGCCGAGCACCGAAGAATAGATGCTTTCGAATTATGGTGCTGGAGAAGACTCTTGAGAGTCCCTTGGACTGCATGGCGATCAAATCAGTCAATCCCAAAAGTAATCAACCCTGACTGTTCCCTGGAAGGCCAGATACTGAGGCTGAAGCTCAAATACTTTGGCCAATAAATGAAAAGAGAGCATTCACTAGAGAAGACCCTGATGCTGGGAAAGATTGACGGTAAAAGAAGATGAGGACGGCAAAGGATGAAATGGTTAGACAGTGTTATCGATGCAACGAACATGAAATTGAGCAAACTCCAGAGGACGGTGGAAGACAGGAGGGCCTGGTGTGATGTGGTCCATGGGGTCGCGGACTCGACTGTGCGATTGAACAACAACAACAGGGATTTTTTAGTTCTCTTTCTTCTCTTCCTGGCTCAAATTGGTTTCCAAAATCCCAAAATAAACAGAGAGAAAGAGAACTAAGATAGTGTGTGTGCCTTTCTGCTCATTCATTTGCCTGAGGACAGGCTGTGGCAATCTGTGCCAGCAGGTTATATCCTCCCTCCTTTTCAACGAACATCCCCTTGGTGGGAGGTGGAAAAAATGAGATATGCTTTTCACTGCTTAAAGACCCTTCTAAAATCCGTATCACCAAATCTTCTTCTTTTAGAAGTGATACAAGCCACAATGAGTTTGCTCAGCAGTGCCTGTGAGGGTCCATTTGTGTCAACTTGGGTAACCGTCAAGGGACACTCTAAATTGGAAACCCCTTAAAACTTTAATCCCAAGTTTATTTGTTGCCTTTATTAGTTCTTCATATCCAACCAGTTGAGTCAGTCTAAAGCTCCCTTGTTATTGCCATTTTTCATTTTTATAGCGCACTCACTGTATCCTTCCATGGTAATTGCAGAGATTTGTCACATGTGAGCATATTCTCCTTATCCATAATATACAGCTTTTGAAAGTCTTGGGAGAGGAAAAAAAAGGAAAGCTATTTAACTCTTGCCTTTTCAAGGTTATTTGCTGCTTCCTAGGAATGGAATTACTCTTTGGCACTATGTCCAAAGCACTCGAAAGATAGGCAAGCCTTTTAACTCGCTTGCCTCTACAGATGTTAAAGCAGTGCTCTTATTATAAACATATCCTACCATTCTGTTTATTAAAAGCAAAAAACCCTGCTACCATTCAAAATATTTGCCAAAGAATTACAGAAATGCATGCAGTTTTATTAACAGCAAACAGTTATTTGGGATGGTTTCCTCTGATCTTATACATACACGAAGTTGAGTACAGAAAGTATTCCTGCAAGTGACAGATCTGAAACCCTGGCTGGTGCTTCCTCCCAAAGTGCTATTCAGCCCCCTCGGGAGACAGAGCTGTGCTTGCCAAACTGGACCTCAGTTTTTCAGCATTCTATCTAGAAATAAAAAGGGCACGGTAGCACAGACCATCAAGTGGAACTTAATGCTAATACATACCCTGTACTGACAGTTGAGTATTTTTTTTAAATCTTAATTTTATTTTATTAGAAGAGTGGCATTCTGCACTAAACATAGGTTGATATAACTGACTGAAATCTCAGATCTTGATATCCCAAGTTCTGGTTAGCTAGCATTGATTTTCTGCCTCAGTAGAAGTGCATTTGCTCTGATGCATGCCATTTAAATTCATTTTCCACAGATGCTTAATGTAACTTGGCAAGGCAAAGCTCAAGTAGCTTTCTGTGTCTAAATAGGACTCCTGAGTTGGTAAGAGCAGCTCCTGTGGATTAGCAAAAGACAGATTCAAACTCCCCACACTAGTATTATGTTAGTGATTTACAATTTGACTTTACAGACAAAAACATCATTTATATAAAAATAAAACAACAAAAATCTGCTCGTGCAAGTTCACCACTCATCCATTTCAACTGAATGTGAGCTGTTACTGGATTATGTTCTCTGTTTTCTTTGTAAGTCCCATCTGAAGGCTGACTGAGATATTACTTAAACATTCAGAATCTTTAACTGTGCCATCCTAAGCACATTTATATCCTTCTAAGCCTATTGATTTTAGTGTACTCAGAAGGGTGTAATTCTCCTTAGGACGGCATAGTAAGATAGGCAACAGAAACAGCTGGTTCCTACAATTTAAAATTCCAATATTTTCTTGATTTTTCAACATACCATGTTAGCAATAGCAAGCTTCATATATCCTTATAAAATAATACCTGTGTTCTTCCCAGTTGGACAGTGTTGGGCCTTACTATGTGGGGAATTCTATACTGAAACAGAATTGAAATTTTCAAAACTGAAAACTCTGTAGTGCTCTCTCTCTCTCTCTTACACACACACAAACACACACTCTCTCTCCATTTAAAAACAGATTGGGGAATTACAGGATAAAATGAAGGCTAATAAGAAAAAAATGATATTTGCTGTTAAGACACAGTAGGTATTTCAAGTCGCACACTCATTTATTCACCTTGGCAGAGGGATTAGCAAGTATGCCCCTCACATTTCATGTACAATGTCTAAACTTTGATATAATGGGACCTTTTGTCAGTCCCACTACTAACTCCTATGACAGTTTTTGCCATCAGTTTCTTGTCATAAATGGAGTGTTGTGCTCTGTGGGAGAGGCTTGATGTAGTGGTAACAACACAATGAAAATATCAGTGTGTTATGGTACCTAGACAACAATGACAAAGAATGGAGGAATAACAAATAATGGTGCAGAAAAAAACACAAGATTTAATTCATTTCCAGCTGATGAAGACCCTCATTTCCCTCTCAGGCATGAAGGAAATAGAGCCATGCCACAAGCCATGCAGTACGGGTGACATGCAGATTTTAAAAAAATCAAATTTACTTAGTTAGTAAAAACAAAACAAAATAAAAATCAAATTTACTTAGTTAGTAAAAAAATAAATAAATCGGTTTTCAGATGCAACTACTTTACTTGATTTGGGGTGCCTTTAGTAGCCAAGGGGCATGTAACATTTATTTTAAAAAATGTCAATATCCCACAGCAAGTCCAGTTTATGTGGCTACCTACCCGTACTGGTCAGGCTGGTGCATCATGGGAGCCTGAGTGCTGCCATAGTTGGGGTGCTGTGAAGAAAACATGGGGCGTCCGCCAGCCCCAGACTGGCTGGGATAAGCAGGCGACCTAATGTATGGTGGCCTAAAGCAGAACAAAAGAACAGCTTCTTTGGATTTGTACTGGACCACGAGCATGAACCATCTTGTCAGCTATTATCCTTCCACAGAGAAGCAGGAAGGGATCTTAGTGTTGAGCAAGTAGCTGTATAGCTTTCCATTTTATTTAGGAAATCTAGAGAAAAGTGCTGTATTTCCAAACTTCCAGAAACAAAAGGGCTTGATGAAAAGTCTGCTGCATATAAGTCTTCATTTTGCAATAAAGGTCTAATGATTGCACAGTTGTTAGATTACTAGTTGTTAGATTACTAAAGGGGATACTATATAATGAAAAGGCTTAAAATGTTGTAATTGTAACAATGGAAAGTTAGAAATTGAAAAGTAAGTTTTGAAAGGAAGATTTGGGGTGGAAAAGGAATCAATTATTTTGTTTTTAAAATCTGCATCCATCATGTGAATCACAACCATACACCGCCAATTATTAACTTTTCAATTAAATATTTTTTCTACACCCATTTTCACTTTTGTAAGTGATTGATTGCTCAAAGCAAAATTCATACAGCTGATAATCTGCACATGAGCCTTTGTTTACTGAAGGGCAACTTGAATTTATCTAATTTAACAGAACACATTTAAATTATGTCTGCCTTATTCTTCAGTGTACAAACTTGATGTGCATTGCCAAAGTAACCAAATCAAGTTTTAGCACTCCAATACTATTCATTTTCTTTCTGACAGTGATAGAATTTCTCACATTTCTAGAATTAAAAATGCATTAGTTACATATGTGTAATTAGTTGTAACTGCTGGGGTGGATTGAACCATTCTCTAAGTAGCCAATTTCCACCTTAATTGGCTCTTTCTCCAATGGAGAATCCACTTAAATTGGAGGAAGACTCCTTAGACTGAGGGAAGACGTCACATTTGAGCCATTAATAAACTAATAAACTAATAAAGTTTACTCAGTGAAGTAGTAGGATGGTGTAGGATCCACCCCACTGTATACATACATCCAGACTTATACGATGTGCTCACTGAAGTGCATATACATGTTGTTATGTATGCATGCACACGTTTATATGGTGGCACTACCTTGCAAAATATTTTATGAAATTCCATTTTTTCTAGTAAGACCCTTATTTATTTCAGCACTTTTAAATATACAAATAGGCCATGATCCCACGCAACACAAAGTGCATGTGTTTTGTACAGATTCCTATGGAAAACGAAAGATCTGTCTGCATCACACAGAAGATATTTTTATTTCCATAGGTCTTCTGAACTGTAAACAGACTGAAATCCAATAAAATTGGTATTCTGGCTTAATCCAGTAGACAGCAAAGGGACATGGAAAATTTATTCCAGAGTAAGTAGTTTAATGGTGATTGTGCTGATGAATAATTTTTAAAATTATTATTCAGTGGGAAGCTTCCTGGATTACAATGACTATAGGACTAGAGACTGATAATTTAAGACTTCAATCCCAATTTTGCTCTTCAGGTTATAATTCAGATATTCTAGTTAACTTTAAGGGAACACTTTTATTCCCAATGGCTCATATTCATGAGCCGATGGATAATGAAAAGTATTCTGGAAGCTTCAAATGCTCAGGAGGCAACTATGATTCCATTAAAGCTGATTCTCTCCCCATCCCATCCATCCCCCCACTCCCCTCTCGGCCAATTTGTGGTACCACCTGTGTATATTTAAGCCTCGCCTTTCAGAATTGCAGGGGGTAAAATTTTGATTTAAGTGTCATCACAAAACTACGACACTTCCTGCTGTAAATATTTGCATTTCTAGATAATACAAGATTGAAATGGCAAATACCCGCCAGTATCGTTCTGATTTCTTGTTCCAATTACACCATTCTCTTTTTTGCACAGCCATACATCTCTTTACTTTCGAGCCATGTTTAGTATGTCAAACACATTTTCAATTGTTTCCGATCCTTTCCGCTGGAAGCATACCTGCTCTGGGCGGAGTTTGCAGCAGCCTGCATCACCGCTGCAGCTGCCTCCTGTGCCTTACGGTTCACAGTTGGCATGGGTGGTCCCATCCCTGGGCCTCCCTGCTGAGATATGCCTGGAGAACTGGGGGTCATACTGCTCATGTTTCCAGGAAACGGTCTGCTCTGTATCCCAGCTGACGGTATTCTTCCCAGGGGCATGGTACCACAAGGCTGGCCTGGCCCCTGTCCATGCATCTGGTTGTTGGCATTTATACCCATACCAGGTCCTGGGCCACTGTAACTTGTGTTGGTCACACCAGAGTACGTTGGCTGCCTGGAGTAGTTTCCTAAACAAAACAATATAACAGAGGAAAATGGAGTTACAACTTTTGATTCACTGAAACAGTCTGCTGGAAAAACTGTTGTGCAACGAAGTTATTCAAGCTGTGCAAGATGTGAGCAGGGACATCCCACTATTTTATCCAATATCTACCGGGCATTTGTGTTCTCCAGATCCAGACAATGCAAAGTAATACATTTATCTTACTAGTGGGGATGTGTAAAGCCTAGAGGCATGAAGACAAGCAGGACAGTCATGGCAACTACAGATGTCTATTCATTCTGCAGCACTGGGCCCTGGATAAAAGTATGAATTAAGCAAAAGAAGCATGGGAGCAAAAACAGCAGCACTGTGCAGTGGCTAACGTTTTGGACTAGGATCTGGTACAAACCATAATCCCTAGTCTGCCATGATACATGCTGGGTGACCTTGGGCCACTTGCTTTCTCTCAGTCTAACCATCCTCACAGGGTTATCAGGGTAAAATGGAGGAGGGGAAAACCATGTATGCCGTCTTGAGCTCCTTGGCATAAGAATGGATAAAAAGTACCAAGTAAATAACAAAAACAAAAATAAATCAAGAGCATGGGAACAGTGGAATATAGATTGTGGGGGCAAACCTTCCTTGCTCTTTGTACTCTTGGAAAAGGGTTTTCCTAAGAACGTTTCCCTTCACTGCCATCCAACATATCTTATGGTATGAAATGGGCATCATGAAAGATATATCCCATTCCCCATGCCTTTTATGTATTTAAAAATGTGATCTATTTTGGCATTGCCAGAATGCTGACATAATTAGTTCATATGCTGTAGCTATGTTTCCCATGGCCCAATGCCCTTTTAACTAAGTGATTCATTACAAGCCTTTTCCAGTGAAAATATATGTGATCATTACTTTCAAAGGAAATCACACAACACTGTGCACTTATTTAAAAACCAAGGACATATGCCTGGTTGACACACACAGGAGTTCTGCTACATGGTTAAACACAAGTGTAAGTCTTCAGATGTATCTGTCTTCTAAAGCTAACATCTTGTTATCCCCTACTCCGTGCTCCACTGATGCTGCAGCACAGCCACAGGTAACACAGCCACAGGTAATCAATGATTCCAGTGTAGCAGATAAATATTTCCTTGACAGAACTTGTTATAGATACTCCACTTTCACACAGCATTCTTCTATTCCAAACTGTGGCCACAATCAAATTCTTTGTGATACTGTACAGCTTCACTGTTTGCTTTGTATTTGCAAGTATCAGGTATTACTCATGTGCTTATTAACAACTCACAATTGAATCTCCCCATTTGTACTCTACATTAAGCGTGACTATCCTCATATGTCATACTTGCTTGCTGTACCTGGCCTTTCTTTTCCCCTGGGAAAGCACCTCCCAACCATCACTACATAGAAGCAGTGGGAGAGGAGAGGAGGATACGTGGTACAGCTCACAAGCCTTAGACAACATATTACTGTTAATTTCAAATAAGTACTGCATTCAGAGTAATACAAGACAAATAATTCTAGTCTTCGGCATACACTTGACTCCTTTGAGTTTTAATAGGGATCGCTTGTTCGAGGCTCAGAGATATCTTCAGATATGATTACAGTTTTTGAGATTGTAACTATACCTTTCAAATATATTATAAGAAGCTGCAGTCAGTTTCCTTAGGTAAGAGAGACAATCTCCCCTGGCTGTTAAAGCACAAAGGTAGTGTATTATTATTAAACAAGCCATTGACTCACAGCAAACACCAAAAGTGTTATCTTTTGATCACTCAAACACCTTCTGCCCCCAGGCAAGAAACTATGTTTCAGCGCACTCGTATTTATGTCCCAGAGACACAACGCCCTCCAGTCTGAATCAAATCACATTCCACAGTAGAATCAATTGTCAATCAACAAACGGTACTGAAAGAAGCTCTGGAGTATCTTGAGACCAGGGGTGTTAAGGAGCTTGTTAGAACAGATTTGGGGACAGGAACGTGGTAACCTTTCAGAATAAGAGAGATATATTTTTCCTCAACACCTCGATAAATAAATAAATAAATAAATACCAGCAATAAATGACAGGGAAAAACCAGGAATGAGAAGTACAAACGTATTTTCATGTTTCTCTAATAGATTAGTAATTTTTTGGCAATGGCTTTGACAGTAAACAGATGGATGCACCATTAGATACAATAAAGGCAGCAGATGCTGAGCCAGCCCCCGTCAGCTGGACATATCAGGCAGCCAAGTCTAAGAGCCCACACTCTTCAACTGGGTACAGGTTGGCACAGTAGATTATGAACACTTGCAAGCAGCCCCTCTTCTCTTCAGCCAATGGATTTCAGATTCCAGTTCATTTCCACAAATTAGAATTGAATCCAGGAACTTGAAGACTCACAGAAAGAAGAAAGTCATTGAAGTCTCTAGTAAACTGGATAACAGGAATTAGTCTAGAGGAATAAAGTTATGGAAGATAATGGACATATTAATGTCCTTCACCAAAGACTCAAATACTTAAGCTTGAAAAAGGATAATCCTGATGGTTTTTTGTACCTATGTCCAAGTGACCGGTCCCCTCCTTCATAAAAGTTAGCAGAACTAACAGTGCAATCCTAAACAGAGCTATACCCTTCTAAACCTACTGACCTCACTGCAGGTCAGAAGGAAGAATCTTACAATTGACATTTGCTTCCTTACATAAGTCTGTCTGGCAAGAAGTCAAATACATTTAATACTGAGTTTTATATATTAGACTGTAAATCTATTTGGACAGGTTGTTTCATATATGTTTTATACGGTGTCTCAATTTTGGATAATTATCAAAATCATATTTCTATTCTTAATAGCAATAAAACAAAGATCATTTTGATCAGAACTGTGTTATAGATGTTTTACTATGTTAATAAATTGATACTTGATTATTTACTAAGACCTCACATGTTTATTGTAACTGGTTTGTCTTTGTATCTGATGTTAAATTTTCAATAAAAAGCTTTAAAAAAGCAATAAAACATTTAAAAGTGATATAAATTCTACAAAGGACTTCCATATAGATCACAGGTAGAACACTCATAATGAACCAATGGTATTCAACCACAAAATGGCTGTCTGTGAACACACCTAATTTGCTAATGAGAAGTTTCTTCTCAGAAGTTAAAATAAGAAAAGTATTTATAATCATGCATTCCATGTATGCCATTAAAGAATGAAAAATGTAACTGTAATACTACACAGATCAGCCTTAGCATGTATGCTTACCACTGAGACACATCAATGTTTTTACTAACAGCACTGTAAAAATGAAGTTTGCCTCCACTCTCTGTCATTTATTCAGCATAAGCTAATGATGACCAAAGCACAGAGTCATCCATCCTGTATATGATCTGGTGGAGAGTTATACTTCATATCCATCACAATGTTTACCACGTGACATTAAAAATGGTTAATGATAGGGATGTTTATTTTCTCAAGCACTGTGCAAGTTAATGTTTTCATAAGTTCACTTTCTTTCCTGAGAGCCAGAAACTCATTACATAGACCCTTTTAGTTACAGCAGAAGAGCTGCGGAACTCAACAAGGAAAGGGATATGTTTGTTATGTTAATTAAATGTATTTGTTTAACATTAAAATTCATTCCATTCACTCAGCTTGAATACTTAAAGTTTTACTATGAAGAAACTATTTTTGAGACCAGGGATTTGAACAGTTTCAAAATAGCTGGGAACCACTATGGTGAATTAAAAATCTCACAACTTTCATAGCACAAGCTGGGAGCTCATTATTGTTTGGTCTGCATCATTTAAAGCCTTTATAATTGCAAGAAAAATATTTTACAAAACAAATAAAGTTTGTTGAATTAATTATCAGTAGTGTACACAACACACAGTTGAAAAGTGAGCCAGAGAGATGGATGAATTTGTCAACAGAGGCAGATGTGCAAGCAGCATTCAGCAATTACTTATTCCAAGTCTTATCCTCACATCAGGTACCAAAAAAGGCCTTCTAAAATGAGGAAAAATTAATAATCCTAATGCTATACTAAAATTACTACTGTCTTAGGTTAAAATTCTATGAAGAAGCAGAACTAGAAGGATTTAATACAAAAACATTCATAATAAGACTGTTGCTAGAATAATTAGTAAGGACTAATTTAAAAAGATATGAACTTGGACAACAAAACAATTAAAGGCTGCGGTCACACGGAACAGAAGCCACACAAGTGAGACGGAAAACAGGCGGCGTTTCCGGGCGCGATCTCACCAGCACATCTGGGAAGCGTAGCACTCCCATGGCTCAACCGAGGCTTCCAGCCGAAACTGCGTGGCAAAAAACTAGTACCTTGGAGGTACTAGTTTCCGGAAACTGAGGGGCAAGGGCGGGCGTCTGATCGCGTTTCCGGTGGCATCCGGTGCCCGCCCATGTCCCCTTGCAAATAAGGTGGGGTTTTTTTGTCCAAGTCTCTGTGGATGCGCACACCCACCCAACGGAGCATGCGCATTTGTCGTGTACACACACACAAAAAAACAGTTTGCCGCGGCGCGCGCTTCTTCATTGCACACCGGCTTGTCCTGTGATCAGCACCTCTCCCTTGCCATGGAACCTCCACAGGACCTCCACGGGAGGTCTGATCGCGTAACTGCGCAGTAGTTTGCCCCAGGGCAAACAGCCACGCTTCTCCCCCGCAGTTTCCTGTCCGTGTGACCGGGGCCCTAGTAGACTTGTTGAAAACTACTGGTGTTACATACTGGGCATGTGCTGAAAGAATCCCCTCCCCCCTGGTTTCAAATACTTTCAAAATTTTGTCATGTAGGTAATTTAAAGAAGGGTTCTAGTGCTTAACCTATATAAGCTGCCAAGACAGGATATAGATGTTTTAATAAATAAATAAGATAAAGCTTCACTGTCCCTTACAAGTATGAAGGTCTTATTTGGATGTCAGAGTTTGATACAAAGTCCTTGGACTCTGTAGAACTCAAGAACATGTTTTAAACATGATAAACATGACTGCAACATTTCATGCAGACTGATCCTGTGCCTGTTTGATTATTTGTCTCTTTAATGCCATGTGTGGGGAAACTATGAATTTTTCAATATATGAACGTTGGCAAAGTGCCTTTTCTATCATGGGTACACAGATCCAGAAGCCGATAGACAGGATGCTCAATGTCACCATTCAAACTGTAGGCAAAACTATAGGCATGCATGCATATTGTGTATATGTGTGTGTGTGTGAGCAACAGCACAACAGCTGGAAAGAACAAGCAGAAATTCTGTCCAGACACTCCCAAAGTACAGTACGCAAAAGTTACTGTGTTTCCTGAGGCATTAACTTCCACAGTTAAAAACTTTTGATGGTTCACACCTATTTATAACAGGACAGGGACTGAAGTAGAAACAGCAGCAGAAGAAACAGCTATTCCATTTCAAATCCCACAACAAGAATGAGCCTGCTTTGGTGGAGAAGGTGGGGTATAAATCAGAAAAATAAATACATAAATAAATTTATTCCTGTATTATGGCTGGACTTCAGGTAGCTGGAGCTAAGTTCATTGAAGTGGGGCATAAATATTCCACTTCTCCCTTGATGGACTGCATATTCAGCCCCGTTTTTTGGTACGGCAGGGAAACAATATCTTAGGAATACTAAGATCTGCCTAAAAACTAGCATGACACCTACACCATCCTAATATCATTCAACAAACACAGCTTTGTCCACATCAGAATCTGCACTGAAGGTACAACCCTTTGAATTAGGGCTGCCAAGTGGGGGCGGGGAAACCCCCGCTTTGGAGGCCCGATTTCCACCGCCGCCCTGGGGGAAACTCCGCCCCCCGAAGCGCAGCGTGCCCATGTTGGGGGCGTGGCCCAGATCGTTGGAGGGAAAACTCTATGGTTTTCCCTCTGACGATCTGGGCCACGCCCTCAACGTGAGCGCCGTAGCACGTCACTTCTTGTGATGTGCTGGCGGTGCACGCACGCGCACCACCGAGGAGCTCCCGGAGCCCAGTGAGGCTCCCCCGCTGCCAAGGTAAGAAGACTTGGCAACCCTACTTTGAATGAAACAATCCAGTATAGAAAATAATTACAATATGTACAAACCCAGCCAAAAGGGCTTGAAAGACAATGAGCAGTATTTTTTTAAAAAGGTATTTTGATTGACAATAGACTGAATTACTTCATGTTCTGACTCAGTAATAAAAAATCCTATAGCTACATTTTTATACAGAGAGTGGGGAAAAACCTCAGGCTAAGAACTTAAAAGAAATGTAGACCAATATCAGTACACTATACCTATTAACGAAAAGTAATTAGTGAAATGCCTGAAACAAAGAGCAGTGGGTTTCAAATGAAGCAAGGGAGATAAGGAACTTGGCTAATAAGAAATTGCAACAACTGCTTCTGAAAGTTTACAGTACACCTAAGTGAAGTTTGGGAAACATCAACTACACTTTTATTAGAGACTCTGTATTCAGTCAGAACTAACATTTCAGACAAGCTTGAAAGCTACACAAATTCACAAAGGATGAGTCAATAAAACTGCAGTAAGAAACACTGTGGAAATGAAGGTTTCATATCACTGGCTATAGTTCTTCAAATAAGCCTCTGAGGGCCAATTCAAATATTACTGTCTTCGTGCAGAATCTGCTAAAAAGCACTTCCCTTTGGACTGCTCAGTGTGGCAGCCTCAACATTTAACAGCCTCTTACCTTCTGCATTGGCCAAATGAGCATAATATTTCCATGTCAGAACCACTGGAGTTGGAGCTGGTGTGGAAACATTACAAGTGTTTGGGCTCACACATGGGGCAAGAGGCTTTCAAATGTTATACCCGCCTTGTAGCGCTGATACAGTGAAGCATTTGGCAGCTTTCCCATGGGCACTATAAATTATTCCTGAGTAGTCGCAAGATGGAGTGTGCTTCCATTGACCATCTGCAGAATGCAAAAGCCTCTTCTTTCTTAGCATTCAAGGAGTAGGCTGTAAATCACAACACAAAGCCAGGTCCTTATTCCAGTTTATCTAATTTGTACTCCTGCTATCCAGTTATTCATATCCACCCTCTTGAGTATGAGAAAGTGGTCTCTACCTCAATGCTGAGAAAGCATATATTTGCTCAGTGATAGTGTACTGGATCCAAACTCCTGCAAACAGATGGAGATTGCAGAAGCAGACATCTCTTGCCTTCCTCTTCAATAACAGCTTCCTTTTTAAAATGTTACTGAGAGCTGAGGGAATGTCAAAAATAATATGTCATGCAGCATTAGGAGCGGTAGCATGAAGTGGAAACTGGATGAAATCCCCCCTCCCCTTTATATAAGAGGTGTTGTATGAACTAATAATACGTTAATACCTTTTATGTTGGCTATGTTTCATTTGTCTACTGTTGTGGAGTATTACTATTATTTATTACACATATTTAATTTAGGTAGTTATCTATTATGGACTTAATTGGTAGCTGTTTGCCATAGGTGGACAAGACTGACTGGGCAAAAGCAAATGGACACAAGAATGCGGGATCAGTAAATCTGTTCACAGTTTTGGCAAAGAGTGAAATTCTATTGTAATGGTTTTATTACACACCAGTTGGTAACTCAATCCTCCGTTTCCCCCACCACCATAAAGTTATTGAAAGTGTAACGAGCCATGACACAAAAAAGGGAGTTGAGTGGTGAGCCAGGCACTTTGTGAAATTATCTGTGGCTCCTTCATTGTAATTCTAGACTACGCAAGAATCCATCCAATCCACAGACTCTGCATGCTTCTTTGGTTGTATATTGTTTGTAACATTTTTTGCTGTGCTGCTTTGTCATTTTATTTTGTTTATGATTTTATGTTTTTCTTTTTTAGTTAACCTTCTTCCTTGCAGGCCTTTTAATGGAAGGTGGGAAGAACGGTCTAAAAATACAATAAAGGATGGTGTAGAAACAGGTGAATAAATGCAGAAGCAGCATACCTTTTCAGAATCAAGCACTAATTGCCAATGAAGTATCAGGAAACTGAGCCATCTGTGCTAAACATAAAAAGGCAAACTCTTTCAAAAGACACTTCCTCTGTCAGTGTGCTAGCATTTTATAATCACATGGATCTAAACCAAACCTGTCTCCTAAGTGCAGTAGTTGTGGCTATTGCTCTGCAAGAAATATCTGCCACATTTTAGCGGGTCAGCAGCAGCATTCCGGCACTCATACATTAACGATTAAGCTGACACTTATAATGGGGGTAGCTCCTGAATATACACAACCTCCTTGTCACCTAAAGATATGAATCCCGACCACCAATTACTGCCAGCTGGCTGCCCCCCAGAAAGGAGATTACATTTCTGTGGACTGAGTGGTGCTGACCTGCAGCCATTACAATCGCAAGAGCTGAGTAATGAAAAAGTACTTAAAGTTAGGAAAACTGATCGTGACACAACACAAACATCATCTGTTCTTTTAAGAAGAAGTCCATGCAGCCCCTTTTGCCATATGCCATTTTGTCCAGAAGGATGATGACGTAATCTTCTAGAGGCTTCTCCTAAGAACATGTTCTGATTGGCAGTCATCCTCACCTGATGTAACTGTAGGGTTGCCAGACCTCCACTCGGGGGGGGGGGGGTTCTGCTGATCTTTTGGGCTTCAGCTGGCCTGCAGAGAAAGCCCTACTCCCAAACAACATGATAACATAATGCGAAAGTGATGTCATCACGCCAGGATGTCGCACGGCAACACTGCTTTTTGGGCAAAACTCTATGGTCCCCAGCCACCCCCAGAATGCCCCCTAAATCTCCTCACTGGCAATCTGAGGGGACCTGGCAACCCTATGTTGCTGGGCCCAAAGCTATAATTAAGCTATATCCCTGATGAAGAGAGACTAGCTGAGATCCTGATCAACTAAAGGCCTAAAGTATGACTAGCTTGTATTGCAATTGCCATCCAAGTAGACAATGCCTGTGCTTTGGCCTTTGACTTTGGAATTTAAGGTTTGTGCTGTCTAGAACAAGTCCTGAGAGTGTTAGACAGTTGAGCTAGTTTTTCTTACTTTCTTCCTGCATGATTCTAGAGTAATGTGTTGGCTGTTTAGTAATTTTCCCTGACTGACTGAACCTAAAATAAACTGTATAAACAATAAACATGTGTGCAACTGCCCTGGGGACCCACGGGGTTCAGGCTTTGAACTCCTTGACAAACTCCTATGGAAGAAAAATTTACCCAGGACCCAGACTATAGTATAAATTCATGACAATGAAATCTAAGAATAGTAAAGATAGAAGAACTGAGGAACTTGCCTTTTCTCCCAGATTTTTCATATGGGAGAGCATTTTCTCTCTTTCCAAGGAACTATACTAGATAACGAGAAGCCTTTCAGGAAAAAGTAATCTTCTCCTGTCCATATCCAAGGATGTACCAATTGCTACCAATCTCAAATCTAAAAAGAGACTACAAGTCCCAGGCTCAGAATGTTTACTAGTAAGGAGGTGTACAACTAGCGCTGATCTGTATTCCCAGCATGGAAACAGCAGAACAGTATAACAAATGTTTGCACTTTTTTCTCAAAAACGTTAACAGAAAAAGAATACTCCTTAAAACATATCACATCTGTAATCAGATACTATTTTTTAAAGACTAAGAATGGTTGTAATATTTCCCAAGATATCCACAAATGAAGCTTTATATTGGTGAACAGCATTTTCTACAGAATAAGCAATCTTTTTAAAGACTGATTAAAGATAAATTAAAACCATGTCACTAATGTGTTAATTATTTTACCTTGTGGCCCATATTGGCTTATCTGAGTTCCATAAGTACCACTTGAATTACTCTGAGGAAAGCTACCAATTCCAGAATGCATTTGGCCTCCAGGGGAAGGATGTGGTGACATGGAAGGTCCAGTTTGCTGAGATGTATACTGAGATAATTGAGGGTTTCTCTGTATGCTTGCCATAAAACCTAAAAAAGAAATAAACACAAAAGAGGGATAAATTAAGAACTTTCAAATATTTATTTATTCGCAAAAAAGGACTTCATACTACAGGCTGGATTCTCTGCCACTGTGAGAACTCACTTAGTGAAAAAGGCACAGTAGTAGTATATATCGTATGGATAAGATACCAGAGTTTTGTGTTGTGGAATGCTATGTATGGAGAGCTGACATAGTGGCATTTAAAGTTTGCAGTTCCAGTTGACAGTGTAAAATGACTGGCAGTTCAGTCCTAAATCCCAGTTATGACTGCATCATAGATACTGGTATGGTGATTGCACCTTATATTCACTCAGTAGAGGGAAAATGTGTACAAAAAAGACCGAACTCCAAGGTATGGAGAGTGCTGCAATTGTACCAGAAGTCCGTATTAACCACCAATCATGGTGATGGATCCAGCAGTGTGTTTCTGTGGGTGCAAGGACTTTTGTGCATGCAGTGTCACAACTTCTACAACAACACAATCTTGTTCTTGGGGTCCCCTCTCCCCCAGGAACAGAATTTCAGGGGGGTATTTCAGGCTGCCATTGGAGGGAGGAGCTGAGAAAGACATGTTTCACAGGCAGAAGTCCTTACCTATGGAAACACTGTGCTGGATCCTACCCAAATTCAGACATGCCTATATCATCACCGTGGGAACTACAGAAGGAAGAAGCCAACTAATGCTGATGCCAGCATGCCTTCCTCTAGTTATGCTACCACTATTCACACATGAAACACAACAAAAAAGAGAACAAAGGAAAACAGTATCCCACACTAACAGGGTGGGCCAAAGCAAGAGCAGACGGAACCATGGAGTTACATTCTAGGGTGCTCTGTAGGTCTGGATTTGCATCCCCTCCTGCTACCATGTTACCTTTTGAAAGACAGGCTTAAACTGAGGTAACCATGGCCACTCAAGCACATTCACAGAAGGCACTTCTGTCAACTTCCAAATAGCTCGATACAGAAAAGCACATATGTGGAAAATTGGAGGCATGAGTTCAGAGCCCACCAAGAAGAACACTGATGAGAAGCTAACGGTCACTTTTTGGCCAGCAACAGGCCAATCAGCAGCAAAACAGAAGGAGGAGGTAGGGCTAGACTTCACACTTCACACATTCTGAAGTAGTCCTCTAACCATACACTTAACAGGGCACATAGCATGAGACAGCACAGAGTACCTGGAATCCCCCAGCAGCCCTATTGTTGAAACCAGGCATATATACCAGGATTGGAAGGACTGTAGAGAAAGGTACAGTGCAGGGAAAATACAGAGGTGTAACATACCTGGGGTCCCCAGTTCAAACCCTGCATGGGTCTAGTAACAAGACAGCTCTGAAGGGACTCCCAGGCACAGCTGAGATTTTGCACCATCAAACACAGTCACGCCGAATGGGCTGCTTGTGCTAACTGGGTGCCCCATAGGTCCTTTTCATTGGTACTCACCCACCCACCATCCTTCCACTGCATTCAAGGAGTTCATTCTGCCACCTACTCTTATTGATCCCAACAACCCCTTGTGTTCCATTCTTTCCCATCCCCTACTCCTGTCATGCAGACTGCATGGCTTCTACAACACCAGAAGTTATCAGGGGGATTGCATAACCTGAGGACCCTTCCCCTTGTCTTGCTGGGGCACAACCATGCAGACTATGATGAACACCCTCGTCCGTTTCTAATGTGAGTCCCATACTGAAGACAACTGAGGTCATTCAGGGGCAGGGGAAACTTATCTACCGAACCTCCATTAAGCACAACTGCAAGACTAACCACACATTTATTGAGTAGTACAAAGAATACTGGAAACAAAGTTGGCAACTCAGCTGTTTCAGCAGTGCTCCTGTGCCTTTGGAAAGGTGCACTGACAGACAGCAGGATCATGAGCAGAGCTGTTCCTAAGAGTGCATGCCCACTGTTTCCTAAGCAGCTTGCAATGATAGAGGAGCCAGACTAGAAGAAGTTAGTTGGCAATCCACAGCAGAGCAGCTTGAGGCACACTGGTCACTGCAGCTGCTGATCAAGCAGTAGGCTCAGTAGGGCTTGGCATTCCACTGTGAATGCAGTCCATCCTGGTTTCTACCATGTTGAATGGATGGATGCCTGCAAAGACCCCAAAAAAGACTCACGGATCTTAATGAGTAATGTTTCTCAATAGCAGAAAACGGCAAGTGGGCTTCACAACTCTGCACATGATGATCTTACAGTTCTCTTGTCTCACCCCCTCATTGTGGTGGTTCCCACATGGTGGGATACACAACTTGGGGGACAATGCATACCCATACATTTTAGGAAATTGCTTTGGAACTGGGTCTGAATTTTCTGCTATCAAGGTCTGATCCTGCGAAGCAAAATAGATCATGAGCATTTGGCTAGCAGTAGCAATGAATGGAGTGGAGTGCCTTGTAGTTAGCTGGGACTAGAGCTGTGCCATATTCCCACTTGCAGGGCTGTGTGTGTTACACAGGCGTAACATCATGTCAACAGTGTGATGTTAAACCAACACAGGAGATTTACAGGTTGCTGTACTATGGTGCCAAGGGTGAGATACAAACTGGAGAGGCTTAGGAGATAGAGGAGAGATACTTAGCATACTTTCCCATTCCTTCTGAACATACTCCTGGCGTCACCCAGTTCTATGCCATCACCAGGGTTACAATGATGCAATGCTGTTGCGCTAGCGTATCTTCAATTTACAACCAGCATAATGCCTAGCTAGAATCCTCAGTCAGAGACACGGCTTTGGATTGCTCCCTTAACAATGTCACTTGTAAATACAATCCCAGTGGTGTGTTTTGGACTGTAATTCACATGTACAAATTGGGGGAAATTCTGTATTATTAAGTTAATGAATATTTAAATAAAATAAACTGAGAAAACAAGGGATTGGCAAATACTCTAAAGAGTGAACAATCAATGTTACATAGAAAGTAGCTCCTCTAGGCAATTCAACATCAAAGAGATTTCACACAAGGGCAGGTGTGAAAGAACCATTCAAGATCTTTGAACAGTGGTATCAGGGGACCTGGGCACTTGAAATAAATATTCAAATAAAAATATGACACCGGAATGCCAAGGTAGTAAAACACAAGAACCAAAAAACACCTTTGCTTATTCTTGTTATCTTCTTGAATGCAGGGAAAACATCCCAGATGCTCAGTTTGTAGCAAGTGGCTACCAGATGACAACAACCTGTCTGCATATTTCAGAGAGATTAACTGACAATTAAGTTATTTTAGCTAAAGAAATGCAGTAGTTCACTTTGCTGGAGATACTATTAATAGGTCTCTGTTACCTTTATCCTGTCACTATAACATAACTTTTTGGGGTTCACAACCTGATGAAGATGAAAGGAGGGAGAGTTTTCATGCGTCAGCCACAAAGACTGACATTCCACATTGATCCATGCTATTCCAAGTAACAGACAGAGGACTAGCAGAATCAGCATGGGGGAGGGTGGTACAGTCCCAAGAGGCCACTGTTGCTCAAAACTGACACTCTAATGACTCTTGGGGTCCCCTCTACTCCAATCCCTGCCTCTTTTAGTTTAGAACTAAAATATTAAAGCAGAATTGGTAAAGCTGCTGTTTGGATCAGTTTTAACAAACTTATAATTGGGATAAGAAGCACTATGTGAAGATGGGTTTTGCTGTGACACAGTTCATTAGAACCATACATTTAAAAGCAGCGCTTTACAAAAAAGACACATTAACAGCAGTCTGGGGGGAAAAGCAAGGTGTAATTCTTGTTACATTTCTGTTCTGGTTGCATTTTTCTAGTACATATGTGCTTTCTCCTCCCAGATTTAAATACAAGAAGAGGAGAAATTATAATTAACAAGTGCCCTATCATAAAAAAACTTTCATCTCTAAGAAACAATGTGTGCATAAAATACTGAACACACAAACTATGATTTGGGGTGTCAGACACCGTCTGCCAATATTTAACACTTTCCAGTCAAAAGATGCTAGACTAAATATAGTGTGAATAAAAGAATACAAATGAACCAACAAACAAGACAGAACTAGTGACCTTAAACTTGAACAAATCAAACCAACAAAGAAGATAAAAAGCAGGTTACGACATCTGAAGTGCAAACTCTCTAGACAGTATGACCTAGTTTGGTGTAGTGGTTAAGTGCGCAGACTCTAATCTGGGAGAACCGGGTTTGATTCCCCACTCCTCCACTTGCACCTGCTGATGTGATCTTGGGTCAGTCACAAGCTCTGGCACAGCTGTCCTTGAAGAAGAGCAGTTTGTGTCAGAGTTCTCTCAGCCCCACCCACCTCACAGGGTGTCTGTTGTGGGGAGGGGAAGGGAAAGGAATTTGTAAGCCGCTCTGAGACTCCAAGTGAAGCGCGGGGTATAAATCCAATCTCTTCTCCTCCTCCTCCTCCTCTTCCTCCTCCTCCAAATATATGCTAGTCATGTGGGAGCTGTTTTCCTGAATGTGAGTATTTTCTGAAGGGAGCTTTGACTCTCAAAAGCTTGTACCCTGGAAACCTTTCTGGTCTATAAGGTGCTACTGGACTCGAACCTAACTTTCCCATAAAATAACTACGTCCATTGTGATGAGGTGCTAATTCTGTTACTAGGATCTGTCCAACTGACCACTGACCATACCACACAATGTCATGTGTAAAACTAGTGACAATATACAGTGCAGTCCCAAGCAGAGTTACAGCTGTCTCAGCCCAGTGACTTCAATGGACCAAGAAGGGTGTAATTCTTCTTAGGATTGCAATCGTCAAAGAAGGAGTAAAGGGAAGGCAGCTTGTCTTCAGTCACATGCACTGCCAAGAAAGAGTTTTATATTAATACATTGCATTTTTGTAAAATTCAGGTGCAGGTTATGACCTTTAAATCCCTTCATGGTCTAGGACCCACATATGTACAAGATGGTCTCTTCCCTTATGTCCCCACAGGCCAAATGTGGTCCTCAGGCTGCCACCTGCCAGCTGTTCCCCTGCTTAGCTAGTCTGCCTGGCAT